TATATATATATATATATATATATATATATATATGAACTGTGAGCATGATTGAGATGTGTGTGTGTTTGCTGTTCTGTCGCAGGACATGCAGAGGTTGCCTGAAGCTGTGCAGTACATAGAGAAGGCCAGCATGATGTACGTGGAGAACGGCACTCCAGACACCGCCGCCATGGCCCTCGACCGAGCCGGAAAGTGTGTGCTTCACAAACCTGCTTACAGTGTTCGGAAGGTTATTTTGGACATGTAATAGGTTACAGATTACAAGTTACCCTATTTAAAAAGTAATAAGTAGTGTAATTTTTAAAATTACTTCATTAAAGTAATGCAACTGATTACTAGAGATGCACGATATTGGATTTTTGCCGATATTTTTCAACTCATTGTGGCCAATGCCGATACCGATATATTTCCTGTTGTTTGGAAACAACGCCAAGTCTCTCCTGTGTGGAAATTATAAGCAAATTATTTTTAATTTTGGTTAGTTTTTAACAAGAACTTATTTGTTAGAATTAAATAAACAATAATGAAGTTATTTTATAATGACAGTACATTGAAGCTTTGAAAATAACTATAAATAAACTATATCAATCGCTTTATTTTATTTTTCAGAAAGATGCAGCAGTAACCTTAACATTTTATTTTAAGATTCAACATGGTGTAAAAAATATCATAATTTGTTTAAAAAATATAACATATTACACATTAATGAATAAATCAGTATATATAATGTCATGTCTGTGACTTTTTTTATTCATGTAAGCTAATAGCTTCTGACCTTTAAATAAACATACTCATGATTTTATGACATCAATTACTGCTTTATTTAATCAGAAACAGTCTAAATGTTATTTGTGTATTTTACTTTCATTTGATTAAAAGTAGGCCAACAGCATCTTAATTCCTCTTATGGGCAAGACATATCGGCATAATTGTTCATATCGGGCCGATATATATATTATCGGCTGATTCCGATATCGGTCCGATAATATCGTGCATCCCTACTGATTACATTTGATTACTTTTCCAAATTTCTTATGTTTTCTAATGTTTTTAACTGTTAATAATTTTCAAAACATGTAAGCCGGGTAGGGTTAGCCTTACAGTAGCACTCAACACCGTCAGACTTTCGAAATCCTTCATCACTTGTATTTAGATTATAATAATATAATTTTAAAGCACAGCCACCACAAAATCAGACTTACTTTGAGATCATTCTGAGGTTAAATAAAGATTTAAAACCATTACGAGAAAGCTATGATAATGTTTTTGAAATCAAATCTTTGCATAGTTATGACCGGAAAGCTTAGAAAAAAACAAGTTGCAATGTGTTTTTTCTGCAATAAAGCAAATGCATTAATCCAAATAGGAAATAAAACATTTATTGAGTAAGCATGTGTCCTAAAGTACTGAAACATTGGTGTCTCATATTTTAGAGCAGTCAGTGCAATTTATGAAATAAGTCAATTAAACCTGTATGTGGGTGTGTATGTGAATCAAATTCAGATTCTTTTGTAATTCTTAACATTTTCATAGTAACTATTTTTTTCCTCAGTAGCTGTAATTGATTGCAGTTACATTTATTGTGTAATTAAATGACGTGATTCCGTTACATGTGACTAGTTACTCAGAGCAGATGTGAGGCCTGCAGGCAGTTAACGAGCCGTTGATCTTGTTGCTTGCAGGTTGATTGAAGCTCTGGATTTGGCGAAAGCCGTTCATCTGTACCAGCAGGCAGCAGGGGTGTTCGAGGTTCGTAGCGGCTCCACCAAACACCGCACGCATTAGGACCAGCTACAAACAAACATTCATGTCCTTTCTTGTTTTCTCAGAACGAGGAGCGACTGCGACAAGCAGTGGAGCTCGTCGGCAAAGCTTCCAGACTTCTTGTTAGACAACAGAAGTAATTGTTGCTTTATTAATTTTAATCAGTCATCTAGTGTATTAGTTTGTATTAAAAACTTGTCATTTGTGACCCTAGAGCACAAAACCAGTCATAAGGGTCCATTTTTTAAAATTGAGATTTATGCATCATCTGAAAGCTGAATAAATAAGCTTTCCATTGATGTATGGTTTGTTAGGATAGGACAATATTTGGCTGAGATACAACTATTTGAAAATCTGGAATCTGAGAGTGCAAAAAAATCAAAATATTGAGAAAATCATCTTTAAAGTTGTCCAAATGAAGTTCTTAACTTAAAAATTAAGTTTTGATATATTTACGGTAGGAAATTTACAAAATATCTTAATGGAACATGATCTTTACTTAATATCCTAATGATTTTTAGCATAAAAGAAAAATTTATAATTTTGACCCATACAATGTATTGTTGGCTATTGCTACAAATATACCCCAGCGACTTAAGACTGCTTTTGTGCTCCAGGGTCACATTTAATATCAGTGTAAAGCATGTTCTGAGTGAATTAGACTAGAGTCTTAGCTGTAAATCCAGAATATCCAGCATTAGATGAGTGTATTGTTTTTGTGCGTGTTTTATTGTTGTACATGTGATCCGTTGATTCGACTTGATTTTGTACTAAAATGGAATTTGTATTTATTCTACACTTGGGCCTCTAACACTAATTCTATTTCTATTTTATTAATAAATAAAAAAAACACCTTGCTATGTGTGCTGTGTTAGGCTTGTCATAGCACTTATTATCATTGCGCTCTTGTTGGTTCTGATTGCTTCTGTTGTTTGGATAAAAGCGACTGCTAAATGACTGAATGTAAATTAGTTTAATACAAGCTGAGTGATGCTGATTACAGGTTTGATGAAGCTGCCGTGTCCCTTCAGAAGGAGAAGAACATGTATAAAGAAATCGAGAATTATCCGACGTGTTTTAAGGTGCGTCAGTATTACTGAGCTGTAAAGCCTTTGCAGTCACAGGTGCATTACCACGCATGACTGTGTCCTGTTTTTGTGCTCAGAAAACGATCGCACAAGTGCTGGTGCATCTGCACAGAAGAGACTATGTGGCGGCAGAGAAGTGCGTGCGGGAGAGCTACAGTATCCCAGGATTCAGCGGGAGCGAGGACTGCGTGGCCATGGAGCAGCTTCTGCAGGGCTACGATGATCAGGATGAAGAGCAGGTGTCTCACGTCTGCACTTCACCGCTACTCAAATACATGGACAACGACGTGAGTCTCCCAGCATGCATCTCTCCGCATGTGGCATTTTCCATGACTAGAGTACAATGAATATAAATAGTGTAATGTGCTTTTTTTTTTTTTTTTTTTTAAAGCTACAACGGCACAAATTCTTCTTTAGAGACAAACCTGTTATGCATTAGATAAAATATTAAAATAACCTCAAGGTGTCAAAGTTAATGCATTTTTTAATAGAAAAAAAAAAACATTTATTTTATTAAAGGGAAATAACTTGTAACCTATATTTGGTCCCAAACCTAGTTAACCCTTTCTGAGAGGCTTCATTTAATGTAACTTAATTTGAGACGACATTAGCTGTTGTGTGTTTTATAAGGCAAGCCTCTACAGGTGAATACAGGCTCAACATGGCAACTAATACATTTCACTGTATTTTCTCCAGCTGATTAATCACAACACATTAAGGCAATTGTTTTATATTGCCTGTTTTCTGAAAAGTTGTTTGAATATGCAAATGGAGCATTGTTTAATTATATATGCACTAATTTGCATGCATTTCCAGAACAGAAATCTGAAGATTGGATAAAGTGTTGTTGATAATTCTAGTTGAATTTTGTTGATATATTAAAGGGTTATACAAAGGGATTTTGGATTTCTATTTTTATTACTCCATTAATCAGAAAATACTATAAACGGACAGAAAAAAAATACATTCTCACCACTTTTTTTTTTTTTTTTTTTATGTGATGTATAATATATGAACAACCCCTCCGTAAAACCCATCAATATTGATAAAGAAAACTTTGGTGTAAGAGAAAAAAAAAATGAAATCTTTAGATGCAAATAGATAAAAGTGCAATCATAAAAACCGGGAAAATGATATATGAACAAATCCCTCTGTAAAAACCTTAAGAATATAGATAGGAATAAAACGGTAAATGTAGGTATGTAAGTGTAGATTTCTGATTCATTTTGAGAAAACACCTTTAAAGGTATTTATTGAAACTGGAATCTGCAGAAGCAGATAAAGTTCAATAAAATAAATGCTTCTGTATTTTGGATGATTTCTTTGCACTAGTCTGAAAGAAAACATAGAAGCAAAAGCTCACAATATTTGTGCCTGTAGTGTCTTGCCTTAAATGTGTGAACTTTATTTTTATTGAAAAAGAAAAAAAAATCACAAACACAGGTTATTAAATTTGTATTATTATTAATTGCATTTTGTCCGTTTGTTGCATCTTAGCTGTCCGTCAGAGCACAGTTACTTTTAGTTTTTAGTTACTGTTTTTTTTTTTTTGTCTTTCTAATCTTTTCATTATCTTCTATTTGTTTCACTCACCCTTTCAAGAGTTTGCCAGGTTTGTCATCAAAACCATTTCGTCTCCAGTAGTTTATTTCCTTTCAGTCCCCCTATAACGTCAGTCATAATTTATCATTTCAGCCCTTAGAAATAAACAGGTTGTTGTGCTTATGTATCAATAAAAGACATCAGTCTGTGAATGATCTCTTTCATATTTTCATATTAGCTAGTTAAGTTCTCATGCTTCAGTCAGTCATCAGGGCAGAGTGCATGCTGAACATACTGAACTGTTAATGAGATTTCATAACTCGCTGACAGAAGCATTTGAGCACACTGTCGTCTCGCCTGTTCTCCAGTATGCAAAGCTTGCCCTCAGCCTGACAGTGCCTGGAGGAGGGAAGAAGAAAGCCGCCGCTTCTGCTGCTGCCAGCGGAGATTCAGGAGCCGCGCCGCCGGAGGAAGAGGAGGATGAGTATGCTGGAGGCCTCTGTTAAACCTCTACCAAACATATTCTACATCTGCTGCTTCAGACTCCTCCATGAAGGTGCATGCATGCTCCCTAAACATTAGATTCCTGTACTGGAGGGGTTTGTGTTTCAAGAAGCTTTCAGAGAAACCTCATCTGGAGAAGAAAAGCTTCTCTACGACACCCATGCTAGGCCTCGCATGTAAGCAGCACGTTTATGCAACGTCATCCTCTCTTAAGTATGCATATTTATTTAGGTTTGCCTTCCAAAACTCATGTTAAAATGTACATTTGTTTTCTCAGGTGTTTTCAGGCAAACCCATATGGAAGCTTGTTTCTGCCATGTGATAAACTAAATAAATAAAGACAATTAAGGTAGACTTTTTATCTCACAATTCAGCACTTTCTTCTATATAAACGAAGAATTGCAAGACAGAAATGCAGAATTGAGACGTAATTTCAAAATTGTGAGATATAAATGCAGAATTGCGATAGACTTGCAATGCTGAGAAGAAAAGTCTGAATTGTGCAATAGTCGCAATTGCCTTTGAACATACAAAACAAAAACAAACAAAACAAAAACAACAGAGAATAGCAGAATTGCAAGATGTAGAATTCTGAAGGGATAAAAAGTCAGAATTGTGATTTAAACTCAGAATTCCATGAAAAACAGACTTCAAGTAAAAACTAAAAGAGATTAGAATTGCGAGGAAAAAAAAAAGTCAAAATTGTGAGATTAAAAAAAAGTTGCAATTACCTTAATTTTTTTTTATTGCATGGTGGAAACAAGCTTCAAAAACCAAGGTTCAATGGGACCTTCTGTGGGTGAATCAGGAGCTCAGTCTTTATATGTGCAGTATTTCAAACATTTTGAGTAGTGCTGGAATACTACACAAGTCATCGTTTTAAATTATACTATATTATACTACATATATTCCATATGTTGGAAATTAAATAACAGTGCCTGCCTTACCAAAAGAGGGAATGTATTTACTGTACACTGTGTTTGTAGCTTTAATATTGTTTAAACTTATGCCACTCAACTTAGTCTTGTCATATGGAACATCAGCATGAAATGCATGAAATGCCTTAAGATTATCTGAACATGAGAAACTCAATCTTAGTTTATTTTTTGTTTTAATGGAAAAAGGTGTGCTTTGCAATCGCAGGGAACAATTTATGTTAATTCTGGATTTGCATGGTTTCACGACACCACTGAATAAAGAGAGTTTGTGATTTTTGCATATTTTAGATCTGAGTTTCTGTAGACTTTTTAATGCATACAAAATGGTAATTGAAATGCACGTAACGAAAACTAAAAGTGCAACATGTAGACAAGACAATAGTTGGTTTCCAGCATGTGCTTTATGCTCATGATATTGATCCACAATCACACCGAGGTGTCAGCAACGTGACATCCTGAAGAGCGGATACTCTTCCTGAGAACCTTTCAGTCCTTCGTTCAAGCTAGGATAGATCATGATTTCAGTGTTACATAGTCTTAGAAACCCAAGCACTTCTGGGTCCAGTTTTCTCTGAAGAAAAAAGTGGCTAGTGTTCAGTCACCGTCTCCTTTCTTTGTTCAAGTTTACGGCCAGCTACCAGGACAGCATATTGCACAATGCGCGACTAACCAATCTCCCGACAGACAGGTGGCGCTAGAGCTCATTAAAGATCCCATTGGTCGTGGCAGCTTCTGAATCAGGGCTCTTTGGTACAGCTGTAGGTCTCATTGTATTGGCAGTCGAACCTGTCCCGACGAGTTTGTCTCACAGTCTTAACGCCACCTTCCTGCAAGACGCAGCATCCTTCTTTGGGTTTTTAGGCAATCCCAGCAGGCTCATTTGTTCTTCTCCCTCGTCCACTTGATCATGGTCTCTGGCGAGCGGTAAAGGAAGATGAGTTTGGCGTACAGGTCCTCCTCCAGCTCCAGCTCGCCGGTTTCCCGCACGAGGAAGATGTCAGTGCAGAGTTTGAGGATGCGGTCGACGCACGGAAGCTCTTCGAACATGATGGAGTGCGAGATGCCGCTGAAGAACTCGCGGACGAATTTCCCGATCACCAGCACCACGGATGCGTAGAGGCCCATGATACTGCAAGAGACACAGTGAGGCGTTACTTACATCTACAGACGCGATTCAGAGCACAACACAAAATCAACAAGCAGCAATTCATTCACTCACCACCATGTCATCCAAGATGTTCATGTCTTTCTTTCTTTCTTCAGTCGGAAAGGAATTACGTTTTTTTGAGGAAAACATTCCAGGATTTTTCTCCATATAGTGGACTTCAATTGTGGCCAGTGATTTGAAAGTCCAAAAATGCGGTTTCAAAGAGCTCTACACAATCCCAGCCGAGGAATAAGGGTCTTATCTAGCAAAACGATCGGTCATTTTCTTAAAACAAAAAACAAATTTATTTATACAGTTTTTAATTATTTATACGTCTTTATTAGGTAATGTTGGAAAGGTCACGCGTGACGTAGGCGGAAGTACCGACTAAGTAAAAAGTCATTGCCCTTTACAAAAAAAGGTAAAACAATGATGTCGGATGATTTTAAAGTTGGAGGAGTAAATGAGATGGCGTTTTTAACCAAAGTACAAAGATGAACTAATGTGCGTGACCTTTCCAACATGATTACGTAATGTGTGAAGACGCACATCGCAGAGCTAAAGCAAGCCCAACATTTGTGGTTAAAAAGTGATTTTTTAAATTTATTTATTTTTCCAGAAAATGACCGATCGTTTCGTTAGATAAGACCCTTATTCCTCGGCTGGGATCGTGTAGAGCTCTTTGAAGCTGAATTGAAACTGCAATTTGAACCTTCAGCCCGTTGGTCCCCATTGAAGTCCATTATATGGAGAAAAATCCTGGAATGTTTTCCTCAAAAACTTTA